CCGCGCCCCGCCCTCCACGCTGTCTGCCCACCTGGAGAGGGCCTTGGCTGGTTGTGGGGCACTGAAGCAGGGCCGCCGGAAACTGGGTCGACTTGGGGCTGGTGTGCAGACCCCGTGCGCAGCCAGCTGGCGGAAGGAAGGTGAGTCGCCTTGCCGGTGGGGCCTCGATTCCCAGCGGGGCCTTTTGGATCCTGTGTCATCCTGCATTGTTTCCCTTCCCCCTGGCGCCTGTTGATGTCAGTCTCCTGTCTGAGCCCTAGGTCTGCCGAATTTTTGGAAATACGAGCAGTGAAGCCTGGATTATTTGAATACCAAAAGGAAATAGTCAGTTACTTTTAGTACAAGATTGTTTTATTGTTTTATATTTTTAGGCATCTGCGCCCTTTTTATTTCAAGCAAATGGTGTATTTGTAGCAAATGGCATAGATGATTTGGTTGAGTCTCACAGTAAAGAGCTTGTGTACAGCTAGCATGATATTAATACATATTATTCACAATGTTTTAATAGTGCAATACATTTTTACATATTTTATTTTTATTTTTTACATATTTTAATTTGTGGAAATGGACCTCAAATTCGAGGGTAAATTAGAATTTTTGACGTCAATCTGTTTTAGTTTTTCTGGAAATGCGTATGTCTTAGAGCTTCTCTCATCTTTATGTAGAATCATCCCTCTGGAATATTTTCTAACGTGTCTGACGTTGATTCGAGAACTGGTCGGAAGGCCTGGACTGAAGTTTCATTGTTCCTGACCCTCACAAAGGTTTTTAAATTTTGATTCTGGAAATCTATTAAGTTGATGTTTTTCTACCATTGACAACCCACTGATACATGTTTTTTGATGAATGTCTTTCTCTAGGTTGTGACTTTTTTCCAACCACAGAATTCTTTTTGGTTGGAAGATTAGCATTTCAAGAATCCTGCCTTGTGAACAGCTTAGCATTGTCAGTAAATGAGGTATGTTCTTGATATGTGTGGGGAAGGAGGGCATGTAAAGATGATAGTGAAATAATAGTACCTGTGGACTTTTCTGGCTTCCCACTAAATGTAGTTGCTTATTCATTACCTGTTCCTTCACTTTATATTTGTCCAGGGAAAAAGGTCTAAAGTCTGCTGGGAAAATGGGTGATTTCAAAATTGGGAGGAGGTATAATCTTACAGATTATAGGTCTTGAGGGAGTGGCTATGGACTCATTGGGGAGGAGCAGACAGGCAAGAGACAGTTCAGGTATCCTTTAATATGCAAAAGCTTATGTTTATAACCTTTGTCAAGCACATCGGGCCATCTTAACCTCTTCTGGTGTATTTGTTTTCTCCACTTCTCTTGTCTGTTCTAGGTTCCAGAGAAAATCTTCATAGATAGCTGTTCACTTGCTATTCATTTGGATTCAAGGTGGGTATAACTGTGATCATGAGTACCTGTTAGAGATAGGATAACTGTTGGCCAGTGGGTGTGACAAGATATCTTGGAGCCATCAACTTCCAATTTTCCAGAAGCCTCTCTCTTCTCATTTGTGTATTGTTAGTGGGGTCAGCGTAAGCCAAGGTGGTGAGTAGTTCATAGATGTAAAGCAAGAAATGCAGAAAGAATCTATGAGGAATACTAAGCAGATCAGAAATATGTTATATAACCCAAACTCTAGATTTGTTAGGGCAGGTATTACAAAACCAGAATTCAAATTAATCTGTCACTCAGAATTCTAATCCTGCCTATATTTTTGTTTATAGGTCAACCTTAGGTCATCTATAGGTCTTAGCAAAACTAGAAGTGAGGAAGGAGTAGAAGATTATATCGGATCAGTGTAGGTTGATATGACACCTGTATGGATAAATTTGATGTGTCTAGTGGTGTGTATTAGTATGGATCCAAAGGGACAGAGTGTTCATTATCCTCTCCCATTCTAGTAAGATATCTATTGTCCCTGTTGTGTTTGATAGAAAAGAATGGTAGTGTCTGGGTGGGATATGTTGGGAATGTACAAGGGATAAAATGAGATAATTGGGTTTTCTACTAATTGACTCCTAATGTACAAGCTGTCTCTATCCATATATCTTTATATTTGGCTGTCTGCATAGAGAAGAAAACATGGGGGAGACTCAAAACTCATTTCTTTCTTCCACCTCAGGTCTGTCTATATCCACAGCTGTGCTGACCTTAAATTGGCAGAAACCATCATCTGAGTGTGCCTGTACTCTGGTCATATCATTGAGAAAGTTTGTGTGTTTGGAAAGGGAACTTTGTGACCTGCTAATCTGTTTGTTTTGGGTTTTTTTTGACAGAACCAGGGATTGAACTCAGACCCTTGCACTTGCCAGGGAAGCACTTATTCTACTGAACCATCTCCCCAGTCCCCGACCTGCTAATCTCACAAGTGATTTTTACTACAGCTTATCTGTGACCTAGTGAAAAAGCATAAAGATACTGAGCTGTTACGTGCTGAATATAACTGGATTTCAACAACATGGCTGGAGCAAAGAGTAAGGCTAGGGGCCAGGCCAAAAGTGGGAAAAGGACAAAAGCAAAAGCACAGGCTAAAACTGGAGCAGAGAAGGAGGTTACTGCTGCAGTCAAACCAGTAGCCAAGACCCGATCCAAAACAAAATCCAAAGCAGGGCATAAAGCAGATGTAGTGGCAGAGGTGAAGGTAACATCTAAAAACAAGGTTGTTGCTGAGATGAAGGAAGGGGCAGTGTCAGAGCCCAAGGCTCCAGTGAAAGCAGTGAGAGATGTAAGTTCCAAGGCTGAGAATCGGGTCACCAGCTCCACATGTAAAGATAAGGTTGGTGTTGATAACTGGCTCTGGGCTGGGGAAGAGGACAGCATCAATACCTGGGGCTGGAAGGGAGAAAAGGCTGGCAATCATTCCAGTGCTAAAGATAAAAGTAAAGCTGATACCCGTCCTCAGGTATGTGCTGAGGAGTCTGTGGCTGGAGCCACTTGTAAGTCTACGTCAGGGGTTGATGAAGAAGAAGAGAATGTTATAGGGAACTGGTTTTGGGAAGGAGATGACAATAGTTTTGACCCTGAGCCCAAACCTGTATACAGGATAATTAAACCTCTGCCTAAGATTGAAATTAATCAAGAAAATAGACCCAAGGACTGGTCTGAGGTGACTATCTGGCCCAAAGCCCCTGCTGTAACACCAGCAGTGCTAGGATTTAGATCCCAGACCCCAGCTGAGACAAGACCTTCTTCATATGTTGTTGTTTCCTCAGCTGAAGGACGAAGCCGTTCTGGGTCTGGAGCAGCAGCTTGCTCTTCTGGGAATGATTGCTCAAGCTCACTGTCTATTCCTGAGTTCCCATTTAGTTCTGAGCCATGCCTCCAGACCATTGATGAAATTAGGGAGCAAATTAGGATCAGGGAAGCGAATGGTATTAAGCCATTTGCTTGCCCTTGCAAAATGGAATGCTACTTGGATTCTAAAGAGTTTGAAAAACTTGTAAGCATACTTAAGTCAACCACTGATCCTCTCATTCATAAAATAGCACAGATTGCAATGGGCATCCATAATGTTCATCCATTTGCCCAAGAATTCATTAATGAAGTGGGTGTGGTGACACTTATTGAAAGCTTGCTCAGTTTTCCTTCCGCTGAAAGGAGAAAGAAAACTGTAATTACTCTGAATCCTCTTTCAGAGGATGAAAGACAGCGCAAGGTTGAATTACATGTTAAGCACATGTGTAAGGAAACTGTGTCTTTCCCCTTGAACTCACCTGGACAGCAGACTGGATTAAAGATACTTGGGCAACTGACTACTGATTCTGTCCATCACTATATTGTTGCCAGTTACTTTTCAGAGCTTCTCAATTTGCTGTCTCAGGGAAATCGTAAAACCAGAAATCTTGTTTTAAAAGTACTTTTGAATATGTCTGAAAATCCAATTGCAGCCAGAGATTTGATCAATATGAAGGCACTGGCAGTATTGAAGCTCATCTTTAATCAGAAAGAGGCAAAAGCCAATCTCGTTAGTGCTGTGGCCATATTTATTAACATAAAGGAGCACATAAGGAAGGGCTCCATTGTAGTTGTTGATCACCTGAGCTACAATACCCTTACTGACATTTTCCGTGAAGTTAAAGAGATTATTGAAACAATGTAAAGTGAGCCAGAAATGAAAGAACAGATTCTGATGTATATTCCAAAGACCCTTGCATTTACCATTATAGTATACACGGTAAACATTACATCTTCAGCAGTGTTCTTGTGAGACTCTTAGCTCTGAGCTAGAATATTTTTGTGTGTATTAAATGATATTAACATCTGAAAGTACTTGTTGATTTTTGTGTTGTCTAGATGGGCATATTTAAAATTTTACTTCACTAGGTAAGCCAGCTATTTCAAGTAAGCTTAGCTTCATCATTAATATCTGCTTAGATACATTTGTGGCTTCAAATGGCAAAAAAGAAAATGTTGCATTTGTAATCCAGTTACAAAAATAAGGTATATGAACAAAAATAATAGTACCTATAGGTATATTTGTGGCGTGTGTGTATGTATATATGTACCCTATCACTGTAGTATAAGGAGCAGGGGTTGTTGTGAGGGATCTGTATTTTTCTCCTATTCCAGAGACACTGGAACTCAAGCAAAATAACTGAATCTCAGACAAAATGTGACCTTAGTTAACATTTTACATTTTAGTTATTACATTTACAGCTCTTAGTTAGGCAGTTTCATTGTGCCATAGTTAATTTACAGAAGTAAGAAGTAGACGTGGAGAGAAGACACTAGATGCTCTTTGTCAGACATTATGTTGGCACTATGTTTTTTTAAGTTTTTTTCCTCTTGCAGTGATCATGTGAATAAAATACTAGTTTTGTATTGGAACTCATTCTGGGCATCCTTCAAGGAGAATTACAGTGGTTAAATACTCTCTTCTTGACCCTCATAACAGGCAGTTGATATAGCTGTTTTGTCTAACACCAACCCCTAGCTCTCAACACCTAGCTTACAGTACTTCAATATTTTTTAGGTAATGGTATTCAAAGCTCACAGAGCACTTAGTTTTAATGGTTTAATTTTGGGGTGGGTGGCATCTTTGCAAGATGTTACAATTCTTAACTTCTTCCAAATGTCCACTAGATATTTGGCTATAGTTAGCTCTAGGTCAGGAGGAAAGGCTGAGATGGATGTGTATATTTTGCCTTCACGTACCCAGGAAATACTTGGTACCCAAAAATTTGTTAAACAAGATGTAGAAGTGGGTCATACAAGGAAGTAAAATGTTATATAGCCTACCTTTTTCTATCCGTTATTTTAAAGAACTGGAATTGTTCTAAATATTATTTAACACGCTGCATTTAGAAGGTAGTTGATTTCTTTACAAAATTATGCCTTTCTTAACTAACACTTAGATTTATTTTATGAATCACATGAAAATCCAAAACATCTTTTACTAGCAGGCAAGCCCAGTTTGCATTTGAACTAGCTAAAAGAGAATAAACTTAATTGGAAAAATTGGAATCCATAATTGAAGTTCCACCAATATAGAATAGGAAGGCAAGGAGAAATGTTACTGTCTCAGAGTACAAGATAATGATTCCCAGAAGTCTATAGCTCAGAAAACATTTCAGGGCTTTGGGGCGATAACATGAGTTTCTGAGATTCAGTAGGAATTACAACCCCTGGTCTGAGTTGTGGAAAACATCTTTTATATGTGAAACTATCAAGTGTATGCTTTGAGATTTGCAGTTAAGAAATTAAAACAAGATCATGCTATAACTATTATTTGTAATTTGTCTGCCCCCACACTAATTGTATATCGTGAACATTTGTTGTGTAATAAATGGTTCTGTAAAGTATTTTTGAATCCCTTAATACTGTTCCTCTTAATATTTGTTATATAATGTTGTAATCTTTCATTGCATATTCTCTTAAAATATATAGTATTATGGTTTACTGGATGTACCTGCAAAGCCTCATGTGCTCATAGATAGAACTTTCGGGAGATGATTGGATCACGGCATGATTCTGTACTTTCCAGTAGATTAGTCCTTTGATGAGTTTAATGATAAATATGATACTGATAGGTGTAGTTTGGTTTATAGACTAAGGAGGTGGGTCGCTGGGTGTGTAGCCTAGAAGGGTGTGTCTCTCTCCTTTCTTGATCTGTCTCTCTGCTTCCTGCCAGCCATGCCGGAGATATTTGTCCTCTGCTTTGCTTCCTTGCCTTTAAGCTAGCTGACTATGTATTGAAACCTCTATAAACTGAGTCAAAATAAACTTCCACCTTACAGATGTGAGTGTTGTGTATAATTTTTTCTTTTATAAAAATAGAAGTATAGTATTTAGCAACACACTTCTATTTAGCAACACAATTCCTCTTTCCAATTTATTATTACACAGATTTTTCAGAATTTTTTTAATATTACTCTGTTTCATATCTACTATATTCTACTATATGACAATAGATAGTAACAAAGTTGAATTTTGCTATATATATATATATATATATATATATATATATATATTTTGGTTGTGGGTGTCCTAGTCCAGCAAACCAAATTTCTAGTTCCTTGTTCACTCAGAGCAAAATGTTGTACACTTTCCCAGGTTGAATCAGTTGTTGGATACTTTCTCTAGGTTAGCTTGATGGGGTAAGAGCAAAATCCTATATACACCTGCCACAGGGAAAATGCACACTGTTATCAAGAAGGTCAGATAACATCCAGATGCTATTTTGCAATTTTCTCAGGGCTGGGTACTGGTGATCGAGCCCATGACATTAGGCTTGAGCTACATCCTCAGCCATTTTTTATATTTTTCCCTTTTAGGCAGGGTCTCACTAAGTTACTAAGATGTCCAGGCTAATTTCAAATGATAAACACCTACCTCAGCCTCTGCATGATGGGATCACGGGGATGTACCATTACACCAGGCTCACAGTACTTTCTATGCAGTAGCTTTATGGAAATACAACTGACATTAAGTTGAATAAACTGTATAATTTGATAATATTGCTGTGTATATTAAGTCATGAGAACAATCAAACTGGCAAACACATGCATTACCTCTGAAAGTTTCTTAATGCCCATAATTCTCTCACTATTCTCTGTGTCCCCATATCCTCAGGCAACTATTGATACGCTTTCTAATTATAGAGAATCATACAGCATGTACTTATTTTTTTTAAAGAAGACAAAACGGTAAAACATTAGAAATGACAGAGAAAAAAAATACAGGATTTCATTAAAATAATAAGAATTCAACAATGGTATTGCATAATGTTATCTTCAAATTAGTTGTTTAGATTACCAGGTATGAACATGCAAAATAGGTAAAAAAAAAAAAAAGGTACAAGAAATTAAAAAGGAGAAGAAAAAACTTTAAGCATTAGCTACTCGCTTCTATAGGCCAGCAGAAATCAGCAACACAGTCATCCAGGGTATCTTGCTTGTATACATAGATACATCTTTTCCCCTTATTTCATCTTTTTCCTTATCCAAGTTTTTTGTTCCCATTGAACAGTCTTTCCCTTTTACAATATCTATTGTACCTTTTAGATTTTAATCACTCTTCTTGAAGGAGGAAATCTAGTTTATTTCAGGGTAATTGAATTTAATCTAGGTTATGTTTCAATAATCCATTAGTTTTTTTTTCTTTCAATAGTCCACTATATGACTTTACAATAGTTTGTCCTTGCACTATTGTGCAGACATTTTTGTTTAAATTTTGATTATTACTATAAAGCCATTATGAATTCACAAGTTTTTCTATGGATGTATACTTTAGGTACTTAGTGCAATGGCTGGATCATGGAGTAGATATGTTTTCCAAAGTGGCTGTGCCATTTTTACATTCCTACAGTTGTGTATGAATAACAATTTAATATTTTGTGAAATTATATTTAACAAGTCTATGGCCTTACTTCAAGTGTCCAGCCAGCTCTTGGGTTTCAAGGGCTGCTTCGCTTATGGGCACTTACAAACTTATTTACTTATTTATTTATTTATTTATTTATTTATTTATTTTGCAGTGCCGGGGATTGAACTTAGTTCTTGTGCTTGCCAGGCAGGCATTTATTCTACTGAGCTATCTGTGGCCCCACAAATTTATATTGCTGAATTAATCTTCAAAACAAATCCCCACTCAGCTCACAGAACATGAATGTCTGTTCATTATACTTGCCAATATTTAGTACAGGAAGTTAAATCTTTGCTATTCTCACAGCCAAAACATGTTATAACACTGTAAAGATTACATATATATTTTATTGATAACAAAAATTGAATAACATCTCTGTTCCATTGGGTTTAACTCTATGCATGTAAAGACAATGGACCTCAGAAGCTAATGAAAGTTTAAGAGTGTAGTATGTACATAGGTATATCATTTCCCTATTTTCTTTTTACTCCTTTATTGTTATCCTTACCATATAGTCTACAAATTCAGAAATTTGAAAGTGTCACCAGTTGACAAAAGTTGTGACACTGTGAGTTGTGAACTAGATTTAAAACAGAAGACTGAAAAATGTAGCTGTACTGACAGTGCATTCCAAAAGTGTATTCCTGAACTGTTACTGATGCATATGTAAGCAGTAGGCAGTCAATAAATTAGCAAGTGATAGATACATACAAGTACAGCTCAAACAGAATGCAGTTTATTAATGAAACAAACTTCACTCAACTGTTTTATAGTTACATGTTTATGAAGGTAATATATTTTGAATTCTTCAGGTAAAAATGATTTTTCATTTTATAAGCTTTAAAGAAGTATAAGCATGCATTAGAAGTCTTCAGCAGCATGCAAATTTTGCTTTAATAGATTTGGAGTCATCTCTACACACCTACTTCCAGGTAGAACAATATACTGTCCACTGTAATGAGATCTTAAAGGAGCTCTGACCACCTCTCCCCTAAAGGTGCTATGTTGATTAAGTAGTAATTGTCAAAAGTTTTGCTGAAAGAAAGGAGAATTCCAGAAAATTGCAAAATGAAACAACTTCTTATTGTATGTGTTGAACTCTTAATTTAGCAAACTAGAGTGATTTCAGGTTGTGCCACCCAAAATAAAACGAGGTATAAAGGACATAAGTAAAAGTATTTCCCTTATCCTTCTTACCCTATTTTTAATCTTACATGGCGAAGGGGAAACTCCCACTGTTCCTCATTGCCCAAGTAGATCCTTTGTGGAAAGCTCTAAAATGTGTCAGAAATGAACAAAATTTCAAAAATGTTATCATTAAATGAAGGAAAGAGTTATGTAGGGAGTAATGTGTTTTCATGTGCTTGGCCTTGAACTATGAAAACAATATTCTCCTTGCTTACTCATGAAATGTTATTTTAATGTAAAATTCCATGTTAGTAAAAGAAAACCAAACAATACATGAAAGTCACGTGCATTAAACTTTGTATATCCAAATAATGTGAGACTGACTGCATTCCTTAACACCAAAAGGTAACTGGAGACTCTAGCTAACAATTTCCATTGTATGGTTCAAGAACTTGAAATACATCATACACTGCAGGCCAGAGTAAATAACAGTCTTGACTACAAGTCCCCAATTTTTTTTTGTAATTTCAATGCCAAGGTTCTCAACTCCTTTGCCTTTTATGGGAGCCCAAATTATATTCCTATGCTGTACAATGCTCATTTGTAAAAGTATTCCTCCTGAAAAACTGCTGGAAATAGAATTTCTAGATCTCAGTAGAACAATTTTTACTTGTTGGTGAAGGTGTGGAATAATGATTCAGTGGTCAAACAGAAATCACTTGGAGAGGTTTTAGAAGATATGAATGCCCAAAGTGTTTCCACAGATGCTAGTTTAATTGGTCTGGAGGGGAACTTGAATCTTGATCATTTTCACAAAGTTCCATAGGTTCTAATGTGCAGTCAAATCTTCACCTCACTGTTGCAGTCTCCACGCTGATTTCCATAGTGGTTGTACCAACCTACATTCTGAGCAGCAGTGGAGAAGGGTATCTTCTTCCATGCAGCCTCTCCAGCATTTGTTATTAGTTGACTTCTGTATGATAGTCATTCTTTCTGGGGTGAGATGGTATCTCAGTGTTGTTTTAATTTGCATTTCTCAAATGGGCAGTGATGTGGAGTAATTTTTTCAGGTACTTATTTGCCTGTTGTATTTCCTTCTCTGAGAAGTATGTATTCATTTGAGATCCCCATTTTTGTATTGGGTCTTTAAATTTGGGGGCCCTAATTTTTTTTAGTTCTTTATATAGTCCAGATAGAAGACCTTTGAGTGATTATTGGTTAAGATTTTTTCCAACTTTGTGGGTTGTCTTTTCACTCTGCTGGTGATTTATTTTGATGTGCAGAAACTTCTCAATAAGAGGAGGACCCAATTTTTAATTCTTTGAAATATTTCCAGTGTAGTTTGATTTTTGTTCGTGAACTGTTTGCCTATCACTATATCTTCAAGATTTCCACTTATTTTCTTTTCCAGGAGATTTAGTGTTTATGTTTTAATGTTTAGATCTTTAATCCATTTTGACTTTAGCTTAGTGCATGGTGATAGAATCAGGTCTAGTAGTTTTCAGCATTTTTTGTTGTTGTTGTTGTTGGGTTGGTTTTTTTGTTGTTTGTTTTGTTTTGTTTGCAGGAATGGGGATTGAACTCAGGCCCTTG